AATAGTGTATTTTCCAGACAAACAAAAGCTGCAGGAGTTCACCACCACACAACCATCCCTACAAAAAATCCTCAAGGAAATCCTGCGTCTGAAATCTGAAAAACGATAATCACTACCACAAATGCACAAGAAAGAACAAAACCCACTAATAGAACAAAAATGCAAACACTGCAGAGAAAGAAACTAAATCTTACCACCACAAAAAGCCACAGTGATAATGTAATAATGCCCCTACTTTATTTCTGATCTTAGTAATTTTTCTTCTCTTTTTTCTTGACCAGTTTTGCAAATTTTGTTGATCTTTTTAAAGAATCAACTTTTGGTTTTGTTGATTTTCTCTATTGTTTTTTAATTCCCTATTTCATATATTTCTGTTGTTATCACTGTTATTTTGTACTTATATTTGCTTTTGCTTTAGTAAGCTGTACTCTTTCTATTTTCTTAAGGTAGAAGTTTACAGTATTGATTTGAGGTTTTTCTTGTTTTTTAATATAGGTATTTACAAATATAGATTTTTCCTCTAAGCAATGCATGAGCCCTGCATCCTATAAATTTTTACATGTTGCACTATGATGTTTATTTCAAAGTAGTCTCTAATTTCCCTGTAATTTTTCTTTTAACCATTATTTATTTAGGAGAGTGTTGTTTAATTTCCACACATTTGTGAGTTTTCTAAATTTCCTTCTGTTAGTGCAGACAGAACACATTTTCTACGATCTTAGCCTTTAAAAAAAAAAAGGAAAAATTTAAATTTAAACACAAAAAAAAGTTCATGGAAAGATTTCCATTATCTTTCAATTCTACTTTTCCATGAACTTTTTGAAGTGTCATGTTTACATTCTCTTTTATTGACTTTTTTATGCAATTTATGTTGCTAAACTTTGATATTTAATTTGCTCTTGATTTCTTTTTACTAAATGGACTTGTTGATTTGCCTAGAAATTAATTTGCCTTTGAAAAGTTTATTCATTTTCCTCTGTTGAAATTAATTTGATATTTGCATGCTTTTGGAAAACTTTAGATAGCCATCTTAAATAACTGTAGAGATTATAAAATGAAATAAGTAAATTTTAATGTTTTACATCTCCAGTTTTTGTAAAAATCTGAAGCCCTACTTTCTACATGGTATTTTGTTATTCAACTGCTGTTCAGTTTATATTTGTTATTTGAACAAATATATGTGCATATTCTTTAAAAAAAATAAAATAAAATAATAAACAAATAAATGGGGGAAAAAATCATTCTGGTTTAAGATCAGCTATAAGAAAGATACCTAAAATGGGGCTGGCTGGTTAGCTCAGTTGGATAGGGCATGGTGCTGATAATACCAGGGTCCAGGGTTTGATCTCTGTGCTGGCCAGCTGCACCCCCCCGACAAAAAGAATGAAAGAAAGGAAGGGAAAAAAAAAGAAGACATGGTGCTGATAATACCAGGGTCCAGGGTTTGATCTCTGTGCTGGCCAGCTGCACCCCCCCCGACAAAAAGAATGAAAGAAAGGAAGGAAAAAAAAAAAGAAGAGAATGAAAGAAAGGAAGGAAAAAAAAAAAGAAGAAGAAAGAAAGATACCTAAAACTGTAATAAACCAAAATGTATAACTTACTATTGAAAAAAAATCCTTTTTTTTTGGTCCTTTGGAACTAAGGCCACCAGTATTTTAAATCTTTCTACAGAAAATATACCGAAAGCGTTAGCATGATTTTTTTTTCTCAAAAACGAAGCAATTTGAGTTTTGTTATTTTTGATAAATAAAAGCCATGAATAAGATGTAATTAAAAATTTTTTAATTTTAAATTTCATTTCATGAAATGAAAATGCTACTGCAAGCTCTGGCATATACTCACAGCATAAGGACATACATTACTAGGGTATAAGCAGAAAAGGAAAATAAATTAATTAAAAAATTTCAATTTTGCATGTCAAAACTAAAACAGTGCTGAAAAACAACTTCAAAATCATTAAAAGTAGGAATGAAAGTTATTAGTAGGGTAACTCCCTTCTTGCCCTGAGGAAAAATGTGTTAAACCATCACTGCAAGCCTCTGGTCTCTGCAAGGAATGAAATAAAGTTAACTTGACCTTAGCTAATAAAAAGGCTTAAAATATTTTTCTGGGCTTAGAATGTTCAAAGCCCAAATGCAGTTTCCAAAACCAAAGAAGCAGCTGAATAAACTTTCAACTTCAGCCATGTTAAAAGCCAAGATTTCTAAGGTTACCAGAAGAACTTCCCTCCACCTACTTCAGTTACAAATTCAGCAGTTCCTAAGCACAGACAGCTGCTCATACATTTCTAAACCTGGAAATCATATTCCTTTTCAGAGGGAAAATTGTGACCGAGCACCAAAGCCTTAGGAGAGAGAGTATGGGGTGTCCTAAAGCTCAACAGACGTTCACACTATTAGGGTAGAAGGACAGGTATCACTAGGAGATCATTCAGGGTAAAGGAGAGAAAAATGATCTGGAAACCACAGTAAAAAGAAAGGTTACTGCTTGCCTCTTTCTCCATCTGCCCTTAAAACATGGAGGAAGTAAGAGAATGATTCAGACACACTGTGAAGTTCTTGCATGCTTCATTATGAAACTCATAATGATACAGACTTATTATAGTATCTGTTAAGAAAGACAACTTTAAAGAGTTACTAAAATTCTGTAATAAAGCAGTATAAGCATATTGTTTTGTAGTACAATTAAGTATTGATTATACAAAAGATTAGGATTAGAGTAAATACTAAGTACACCTAAAATTATTTCATTAATTTATTTTCAAAGGAACCTAACCATACGTTCCTCTTTATTAAAGAAGATTGTTTAATTTATGCTAAGGTCCTGAATTTAACTAAATTGCATATTATGCTCTGTTACTCATGTCTGAAGATGTGATATTGCTCTCTCTCTTTCTTTCTCTCTCTCTCTCTCTCTTTCTCTTGATTAGGTAGATAGATAATACAGATAGATACAGACACATCTATCTTATCTATCCAATCATTCTATCTCATTAAGATCTTTTTGTACTGTGGTTAAAAAAGACGAATGGGAACCCAACAATATTTTTCCATACTTAGTATATGTAAATACTAAGTATGATTTTGGTCAAATACAGTTTTAAGAATATGTTTATCCAACAAATTCATTATACATGTATACTCCTTTGAGCATTGGGAATGCAAAATCATAGTATTGTGTAGGCGCATGCAGACAGATATGTACAATGTGATATATACTTCATAGGATAAAGTAATTCTGCTTTGAGAGATCTTTAAGGCTTCAGAAAGAAAGTTATAATAGAATTGGACATGTGTGTGTGTGTGTGTGTGTGTGTGTGTGTGTGTGTGTGTGTGTGTCTGGCCAGTACGGGGATCTGAACCCTTGACCTTCACGCTGGACCTTTAAGTTAGAGTAGGATTTTTGTCCCACAAAGAAAAGTAAACAGTCTGGTGGGTTTGGAGTAGAAAGTACATGGCAATGAAAAGGAGGGAGACTTGAAAAGTTAATTGAATCATGCTAGAAACTTTGGGGTTTATCCTAGTGGCAATGAAGAGCCTCCAATGTTTTTATTCCTCAACTTTTTATTTTGAAAAATTTGAAAGTCAGAGGAATAGTACAATAAATACCTACATACCCATCACCATATTCACCAACTGTTAACATTTTGCCACATTTGCTTCATCTCTCTACATATACATTTAACCTATAATATTTTTATTTTTACCAAAACATCTGAAAATTAAACATCCTGCACTTTACCGTTAAATCCTTCAGCATGTATCTAAGAATAAAAACATTTTTCTATAACCACAATATCATCATCACACCAAAGAAATTTAATATCTATATAATTATATGACTGTTACACAGTCAATATTCAAATTTCCTTGATTACCCAATAATTTCCTTTATAGCTATTTTTTTCCATTCCAACATCCAATCAAGGATCACACATTGCATTAAATTGTGAGGTCTCCTTTAATCTAGAATTACATTCCACCTTTTTTTTCTTCTTTCATGACACTGACTCTAAGAATCCAGGCTAAGAGTCTTGTAAAAGGTCCTACAAGCTTCTGTTGTTTGCTTATGATTAGATTCAAGTTAAACATTTCTGGCAGGACAACCACACAGGTCATGTTGTGTACTTCCCATGGCATCACACCAGAAGGCACATAATGTGTTTTCAACCACAGATATTTAAGCATGAAACCAGTTTCTTCATTAGATTTATGTGTTAGAAAATTTTGGCAACAGTGTCAATGTCTAGATTTTTTTGCCAAACTAGACCAAAAAAAAAAAAAAAAGAATTTGTTTTCTCTCTCTTCTTAGATATTACTGACGTGATCTTCTTATTGTCTCAATATATACAGAATACCATAACAATCACCTTACTTTATCAGTCACACATCTATGTTAACTCATGATGTCACAAGTGTTAAAAGAAGAATTTGGTTGCAGACCAGGAACTGACTAATGATTCCAAATATACCATTAAGAAAAACTCAATAGTATATTAAGCTGTTAAATCATACAGAAGGTAACTATCACACACAAAAAGTTAATAGTCTACTTTCAGCTAAAGCCGACTAATGATTCCAAATATACCATTAAGAAAAACTCAATAGTATATTAAGCTGTTAAATCATATAGAAGGTAACTATCACACACAAAAAGTTAATAGTCTACTTTCAGCTAAAGCCGCTAACAAGGTATTATTCTTATTCCAAAAGCTATTTTAATTCTTGGCTTTAGGAAACATCTAACATGTCTTATGAGTATAAAGTGTGTACAGGAAAGGAGAATCTTCTTTTTCTTGAAGGAACTCAAATCAGTACAACAATGACTAAATAAAAACTATCGTCCTTAAGAGTATTATCTAAAATAAGGATATCCCAACTTTGACTCTATGTCAAAAAAAAAGTAGTTTCATGCTTACCTCATAGGTTAGTAGCATATATATTTAATACATCAAATAGCAAAGTAAGACACTTAAAAGAAGTTAGTTAAAAAAGTCATACCTGAGTAAAAATATTATGTGTTTGGCTTAAAATCCACCTGGCATCAGCATCGGGTGCTACTACTAATTTTAAGGTCCCAACATAAACATCAGAACATAAAGTCCAGAAGTGCTGTTCTTGTAAACTGTAAACTCCTTGCAACTGCTGCACCTGAAATACAATGGGCAGATAGTAACATCGTGATCAAGCATAAGCGCCCCTCCCCACTTAGTTTATCATGCAACATATCAGTGATCATGGATTCTACCCCCCAGTTAAAAAAAAAAAAAAAAGTTAGATGTTTAAATTCATTAACAAATACCTATTGAGTATTCATTATGTGATAGGTATTATGACAGATGACAGGTGATTGGGGAAATAATTTTGATATGAACACATATCAAAATTTGTAAGGTATACTTGAGAGAATATCTACAGGGAAATTTAGGGTTTCAAATACATCAATCAGAGAATTAGTGTAAACACAAATGAGCTAAGAAGCTAGAAAAAGAACAACAATGTAAGCCTAAAGAAATAAGAAAGGAAATAAAGGAAAGATTTAGAAAAGGATAAATTCACAACATCAAAAGCTGTTTCTCTGAAAAGATCAATAAGCTGGAGGAGTATTTCTTAATGGGTCATACTGTGGACAGGACAATTCTCCACTGTGTACACTATCCAAGAAACTACAGGACTTTGCATCCCTGGGCCCCAGGGAACTAAATGCCAACGTATACCCTTTCCCAAAGCATATGACAACCAAAAATGCAGAGAGGGGGATATCTCTAAGTTTTCCCAACAGCTCCCTAAGTTTTCCACAGTCTTAGCCTAAGAACCACTGGCAATACAAACTTCTGATTAAGGTAAAAGATCGAATAAAATAAGATGCAATTAAATATAAAACGAAAAGAGAGAATAACTATAAACACAAAAGATTTAAAAACCATAAAAGGGAGTACTATGAATACTATATGGATGTATCAATATATGAATAAACACAACATTACAACTAAGTAGAATCCAAACACTTCTTACCACCTCTACTGCTATCAGCCTAGTCAAAACCAGCATTCTCTCTAGACTGGATTATTATAATAGCTTCTTAACTGGTCTCTCTAATGCTAGCCTTGCACCTCTTCCACCTATCCTCAAAACACTAAGATCCTGAATAAGATCCTGTTATTTTAGGTCAGATGCTGCCACTCCTCTATTAAAAATCTTTCAATAGAGCTGGCTGGTTAGCTCAGTTGCTTAGAGGGTGGTGATACAACACCAAGGTCAAGGGTTCGGATCCCGTACCGGCCAGCTACCAAAAAAAAATACTCCAATGGCTTCCCATCTTACACTGTGAAAACCAGTGTTTTTACAATGACTCAAATGGACCCATGTGGCCCCCTTTTTACCTTATTTACCTCATCTCCCTCTTTATCAGCTACCCCAGTCTTCTCGCCATTCTTTGAAAAGCCAGGCACACTACTGCCTCAGGGTACTTGCTATTCCCTCTGCCTGGAGTGTTCTTCCTCCCAGATTTCTGCACAGTCCATTTTCCAGAAAATAGAAAATAGCTGCTACCTTATATTACTAAGATATAATGCTGACCCCAAAGCAGATAAAGATAATAAATCATAAACTAATTTCTCTTATGAATTAAATGAGCTAAATCAAACAATTAAAAAAATAACATATCATGACTAAGTTGGGTTTATCCCAAGAGGTAAAAAGAATGGCTTAACATCAGAAATCCTATTAATGTTATTCTTTAGTAATAAAGGAGAAAAATCACACAGTCATTTCAATTAAAGCATTACAATTACTTAATAACTATGAGGATACTTCAAAAAGACCATGGAAAATAGAATTAAAAAATAATACGAATCTTTCCACGAACTTTTTGAAGAACCCTTGTATTTATGATTAGGGAAAAAAAATGATCAAGACACTTTCTTTACTTAATATTAAGGCTATTACCAAAAATATACAGAAAATATTTAAGGACTATATTAGTCTGTTTTCTGTTGCTTATAACAGAATACCTGAAACTGAGTAATTTATAAAGAAATGAAATTTATTTCTTACAGTTTTGGAGGCTAGGAAGTCCAAGATACAGGGGGCACATCTGGTGAGGGACTTCTTCTGGGTAGGAACTGTCTACAGGGTCCCATGGCGAGAATGGCAAGAGCTAGAGAACTAACCTCCCTTGCTCTCCTTACAAAGTCATCAGAGCCATGGCCATGACAACCCACTGAAACATTAATTCACTCATGAAAGCACAGTCCCCTCTATTCAATCACCTCTTAAAGGCCCCACCTTCCATGACCATACTAGGGGTTAAGTTCCAACATGACCCTGGGGGGAACATTCAAACAACAGCAAGGATGAAATGAATGCCCTTGAACATCAAGAAAAAAACAAAGATGCCCAAATCACCAGTATTGTTCAGCATCTCTGTGTGTATCTGGAGGAGTTCAACTAAGAACATTACCCAGAAGTTGAAAGAAAGGCTCAATATGAAAAGATCTTTGTAACAATTACAGTAGTTTAAAAAGAGAAAGAGGCTGCTCTGTGAAGGGGTTAACTACCTATGCCTGGAAATGGTCAAGAAGCTGCATGAGCAACTAGATGTCATACAGCAGATTCTTGCAACAGATTGAAGACTGCACCAAATGAATGATAAGATCCTTTTCAATTCTGAGGCTCTCTGATTTTTACATATCTACTTGGGAAGTTAATTAAGAAAAGGTTGATCTTATATCTATCAAAAATATTTTTTATTATTAAAAATAATTTATTTTTATCAAAATTTGATGAATGCAGGCATTATTTTCTACAAACTCCAAGAAAGTTGGTGGGAAATTTGAGACAGTATCTACTGTGCACTCTCTAAAAACTGCTTTTACTGGGGAAAGAGATCAAAGTGGACTTTCTCTTCCTCTTTTAGGACTCTGAAGACAACAGTGATTTGAACCTGATATTCCTCTACATTTTTGTAAATGGCATCCTCATGGAGTAGTTTCACTGTTGGTAAAACAACCTGGCTAAAAGATTTCCTGTACCTACATAGAAACAGCAGTGCCAGTACATCCTTGCAGTTATTCTAAAATATAGACTAAGGAATAATTCCTGTGGAAATTGGTTTTAACTCTCCAAAATAAAAAATGTGGGGAAAGTTCAGTTACAGATGAAAATCTGTGCTGCTGTTCCTACTCTGGCAGTGTGGTATAGTAGAAGGAGCATGACCTTTAGAATCAGAGTGATATGGATCAGAATCCTGATTCAGCCACTGTCACTTGTGACCATGGATGTGCCTCAACTTTATCTAGTGAAAGGAAGATGGTACTTACCCCTTAGTTTACTGTGAAAAAGAGAAAGAACATATATAGAACACTCCATATAGGGACCAGCTTATACTAGGCATTCAATAAACTGTCCCTCTCTCTTCCATAATTATGCAGACTGATCCTACCTTGAAATCATAACCACAAATCTTAAATAGACAACTTCACTTTCCCTATCTAAAAAACTTCTCCTTTTTCCTCTGGCTTTCTAATCTCTCTGCATAATTATACTGCCCCGTAAATCATAAAGAAAATAGAAGCCCACAGAAAATCTCTTATCCTTTACCACCAAATCTACCAGTCAACCCTCATCCATGTCAGCACTTTCTGCCTTCACTTAGGGGATATAGTACGCTTGCTCCTATCTACAATTAATCCTTCTATTGTGCTCTGGGTTCCATCCTTTCTCACCTTCTCAAGAACTTCATTCCTTCAATAATCTCCTTCACTATTATATCATCAATTTATTCCTCTTAGTTGGACTGTTCCCACTGGTATCACACATGTTCTAGAACTGTGCTGTGCAATACAAAAATCACTAGACACGTGGCTATTTAAGTGAATAAAAATTAAATTAGTAAAAAAAAAAATTTGTTACACTAGCTACAAATGGCTTTTGGCTTCCACAATGGACTGCACAGATTATAGAAAATTTCCATCTTTGGAGAAAGTTCTGATATAACACTGTTCTAAAATATCCTCTCTCCTGAAACTACATCCATATCCAGGCTATCTACTTATTTCTCTGCTCCCTTTAACAACAATTCTTGAAAGAGTAATCTGTAGCCACAGTCTCTGGTTCCCCAATTAATTTTTTCTTTAATCCACATAAATCATGCTCTCCTCCCCAACACACAACTGAAACTGCTTTTATCAAGGTCATTAATGATGTTCATGATGCCAGCCAATGATCACCTTTCTATTCCTCCTTTATTTGACCCCACAGAAATATTCAGCATAATTGATTATTACCTTCTCCTTCAACTTTGTGATACTACACACTTTTGGTTTTCCACCTCCATTACTAACCAATACTTTTCCTGGTTTTTCCCACCTGTGCTCTGAATTTGGAGTTGAAAGTAGATCTAAGAGAATACAACTATAACCTCTCCCATGGTAATCTCATACAATCCCAATGTTTTAGATGCTATTTATACCTTGATGTCTCAAAACTCTTTCTAGTTCTAATCTGTCCCTAAAACTCTAGATTTACACATGTAACTACTTAGCATTTCCCCTGGAAGTATAATAGGCATTACAATTTTAACATATCCAGATTAGAACTCTTGATTTGGGGGGAATGTCCATCCTCAAACCTTTACCAACCTAACCTCAATCACAACAAGTGCCATTACCATCTACCAAGTTGTGAGCCAACATTTTTTCTCCCCTCTGCTAATATAATTCACCTCCAAAAACATACCCCAAATGTATACTTATTTCTATCTTCACTGCTATGACTGTAGTCTAAGCCACTTTTTTTTCACTTAGAACTGGTATTTTTTGCTAAAACTCATTCTCTACATAGCAAGCAGAACAATCATTTAAAAACAAAAGATTTATGACTCTCCTGCTGCCTAAAGGCTTTCCAATGCTTCCCACTGAATTACAAATAAATCTCAACCTCTTAATATGACCCAAACCCCCATATGATCTGGGCCCTGCCTTTCTCTCCAATCTTTCAAGCTACTCTTCTTCCCTTTACTCATGCTTTAGCCACAGTGTCCTTTTTTTCTCCTGTTCCTCAAACACATTAAATTAGTTCCAGCCATAGCACTTTTGCATTAGCATCTTCCTTTGCCTGGAACATTCTTCTCCAGGATTTTCATATGGCTGGCTCTTTCTTGTCATCAAGGTTTCAATTTCCTTCAATATAACTTCCTTAGTGAATTGAATGTAGCCATCCATGTCTATTACATCACCTTGTTTTATTTCTATTATAGTAATTATCACTGATATTTTCTTATTTATTTATTGTTTAATACCTGTGTTTCCCCACTAGACTGTAAGCTCTGTGAGAACTGAGACACTGTCTTATTTACCAGTACCTTACAAGAGTATCTGGCACAGAGTGGGAGCTCAAAAAATGTATGGTGAATAAATGCTTATATCATCTGCTATTGACATTCTATATTCTAAAAGAACTGCTCAATTTCTAGATGAGGACAATTTCTACCACATCTTCTTTAGTGAACTTCAATATTTTCCAATGATTTTATTCTGGTGTGTATAAATGGCACTCATGGTCAGCATTCAGTCTTGGAAGAAATACTAAATTATACACAAATGCTACCCATATTTGTGAAAGTTGAAAACCCTAATAGTTTGGAAACAATGTGAAATCCAATTGTTTGGAAGCTTTGAAACTTACCCTCTGATAGCACTGAGGCAGAATATTTTCCAACAGGGGAGGAGTTCTCTGCATTAATATTCCAACAGACTCTCTTAAAAGAGGAATAACACTAAAGAAAGGAAAACAACAAATTTATTAAAGTTACATTCTGACAATCTCATCCTGGAAGAAAGTAATAACATACCTCCCTATAAGTAGAATAAAAGATTTATCAGAATGATATGAGGAAAAATAATCCACCAGTCATTGTTCCAAATTTTTCATGTAAGCAGTAAGTTATCACCTAAAGTAAAAGAACTAAAGAAAATATAACAATTTGTGAAAGACTAAACTTATAAAACTGAATAATATTGGATCATCTAAAAATATAAACACAGCACGTGTTCAGCTGTTATTAAAAATATGACTCCATATGGTCAGAACCTTCCAAGGTAATCACAGTCTTTCAGGCTGACTGGTCCTCAATATTTATCAAATATTTACAAGCATTTATCTGTATAGTACTAATAAGGAAAATGCAAAATATATATATATATATATCTGTACTTTCGTACAATATTTTTCCAACCTGGTTATTTATCAGTCATATTTCATTATTTTAAAAATATAGAAGCCTGGCTATAACCCGCTTGTAGTAAACTCAGCACCTCTAGCAATGGGGTCCAAAAGTCTGTATGTGTTGATGTAGCTAGTCCTCAACCAGCACTTAAAACTACTGCTTTAAGCTATTTGGATGATTAAATGTAAACAAAACAACAGTGTTATGATGAGGGTGACTCTAATGTAATGGCTTTCTAACTTAGCTACACATCAAATACACCTTACAGTCTTGTTTTGTTTTTATTTTTTGAGGGAAGGTCCAGGCATCTACATGTTTAAAAAGCTCTCCAGGTGATTCCAATGAGTCAGGGTTGTCACACACTGCTCTGCTGCTTGTAGACTGACAAAGGGGAGGTCAGAAATCGCTTCATTATATTTAACAGCTTAAGCCAGTTCTCACTTTTAAACTTAAAGAATTTCAAAATTTCCAAAGTAAAACTTCTGATAATAACTGTAGGAGATGGAGATAAAATGAATGTATACCTTCAGACCCTGAGCCAGACAGCCCACTTGGCCATGCCCAGGTTCCTGAACCACAGAAAGTATAAGGTAATAATGTGTGTTATTTTAGCTACTAGGTTTTTTTTTTTTTTTTTAAGATGACTGGTAAGGGGATCTTAACCCTTGACTTGGTGTTGTCAGCACCACGCTCCCCCAGTGAGCACCCGGCCAGTCCTATATGGGATCCAAACCTGTGGCCTTGGTGTTATCAGCGCCGCACTCTCCCGAGTGAGCCACGGGCCGGCCCTAGCTACTAGGTTTTTTTTTTTTTTTAAGATGACTGGTAAGGGGATCTTAACCCTTGACTTGGTGTTGTCAGCACCACGCTCCCCCAGTGAGCACCCGGCCAGTCCTATATGGGATCCAAACCTGTGGCCTTGGTGTTATCAGCGCCGCACTCTCCCGAGTGAGCCACGGGCCGGCCCTAGCTACTAGGTTTTTGTGTAATTTTTTACATATCCATGGATCACAGAAGTTGAAATACACTTTAAGGATTAGCAATGTTTCTGACAGATGGAAAGGAAAGAGAAGATACTAATGAAGACCCAAAGGAACAAAGACAATGCTTGTCTTGCTCGCTCCTATATTCCCAAGGAGGCCTAGCAAATTGTCGGTCACAAAGTGGGTCCATGACAATTGTTGGTTGAATGAATGATAGCTATACAGTTATCAGGTCCTCTCGAATCTGGATTAAAGAAAGGAAAAGGACACAGTAAAGAAATTAGGAGACTGCTTCTATATTTTAATTATGTAGTGATCAGTACTTGGATAAGGAGGGTAACAACAGAGACGAATAGGAAAATTAAACAGACAGAGAGAGAAATAACTGGTGTCTAAGTGGATATAGCGAAAGACCCAGTAAGAGAAACGTTTAGGACAAACCTAGATTACTAAAAGTGTGGAGGGGAGGGCAGTGATGAAGACGAAAAGCTCAATGTGGACAGGAGTTTCAGTCACATTCAAGTAGAAGTATTCTTTACTGAGATAGTGATTTAAGAACCAAGAATAATTAGCTGTCACCCATAACTCCTTCTTCTCCCTTGTAAACCCCATGCTCTAAATCACCAAGCTCTCCTGATGTAACATCCTAATATTTCCTGACTCCATCTCTTCCCCTTTATTCTACTATGCACATCTACGATAATCTCCATCTTTCTCTTGGATTATTACAACAGTGCTCCGTTTGCCTCTAGTCTTATTTCCTCAAGTTCAATCGATAATCAGCTTCAAAGATGGCTCCCAATAACCCCTGCCTCCCTAGCATGAGGGTACATCAAACAATTCATGGGAAGATTCATATTACCTTTTAATTCTATTTTTCCACGAAATTTTTGAAGTACTCTCATATTCATGCCCTTGTGTAATCCCCTCCTCTTGAGTGTCGGGGGGACGTAGTGACTGCTAATGAACAGAATATGACAAAAGCGATGAGACGACACTTCCAATATTAGGTTAAAAGACTCTGACTTCTGTCTTGTTTACCCTCCTCTTTTGCTCTCGCTTGCTCCGTCATGGCTGCCATGTCGTGAGATGTCCTATAGAGAAACCCATGTGGCAAGAAACTCAGGAGTATCTCTGTAGAGGAAATAGACTCTCAGTACAACAGGCCAAAATGAACAGAATACTGTTAGCAACCGCCTGAGTGAGCTTGGGAGTGGATTCTCCCCCACAGGAGCCTTGGAATGACTACCGCTCTGGCTGACGCCTTGATTGCTGCCTTGTGAGATACCCTGAGCCCGAGAGCCCAGTCAGTTATGCCCAGGTTCCTGAACCACAGAAGCTATAAGACAATAATGTGTGTTATTTCAGCCACTAGGTTTTTGTGTAATTTGTTATATATCAATAGATAACTAATACAACCATTTTTTATAGAGTCCATCTATATGAAATAAGTATCTGACCCTATCACTTCTCCACTAAAAAATGTGTCTAAAGCTCTCTACTGCCTAGGGGATTAAGTGTAAGCCCTTTAACATGATATATTTTGGGATCCAGCACCCTCCAGGTTCACCTACTATCAATCCCTGCTTCCCATTTTAAGCTCTCCAAATATAAAAATACTTGTGCTTTACCTTATGCTGTTTCTTACTTTCATATTTTGGTTCATGCTGTAACCTTGCCTAGAATGTCCCTAAACTGCTCTCCGGTCGGGTTTATATTCCTTCTTTAAAATCTTAAGTGTCACTCCTTTTAGGGTGTATTTCCTTATCCCAAACTGTCTTCCAAATTGCAAGAAACGTCCTCTCTATACTCCTGTAAAAAATTTTTGATACCTATAGTATTATTACCTTGCATGATAATTATCAGCTTGTGTCTCCCTCTCTCCCTCTAAACTGAAAGCCATTTTAAGGAAGAATTGTGTCCTATTCGCATTTGTGTCCCCAGTATCTCAGATGGTGTCTGACAAATAAATGTTTATGGAACAGAATTTATAGCTGAATCCATTAAACATAATTAATTCATACATTTAAAAAGTATATTTAAGGCACGGGATCAATACTAAATCTTGCAGAATGTATGGAGTTATCTGTAGTTAGGAAAAAGCACTAGTTAAGACAATAAAGACACAGTATGGTATCAGGAAACAAGAGAAACATATTTCCAGCAGCACTAAATGCCTCAGTAAAGGAGGAAAAATACAAACACAAAAAGGCCATTTGATTAAACAATAAAAATATTGTTTGAGGCCTTCCATTACACAATTTCAGGAGTACAAACCAGACTGAAGAAGGTTAGAGAAAAAAATGGGTAGAAAACAACTAGAAGTGGAGTTGGATTCTAACAGTGAAGAATACTCATTCACCTAAACTGAAGAGTGGTATCTGTTTCTACTTAACTGTGCTGTTATTAAATAGGTAAAGACTCTCTGGGTTTACCAAAAAAGCAAGGAAAAACATGATGGTAGTCTAATAAGTACAATTCAATCATTATGACACTTTTCTTTCCTCTCTCCATCCTCACTTTTCAGGAAAAAAAAGAAAGGATCAGTCACAGAATGTTTTTATATACCAAACTTAAAATTTTTATGTTTTCCTATTTTCCTTACTGTACTTCTCAGAAAATGAGGCACAAAAATGGTTCTCCTTGAATTACTGTTTGAGGATGAGAAAAAAGGTTTTTTTCCTATGTGCCTCCCAAGTTTAGGTTTTTTGATTATTTTGGTAATTTCTTCTCCAATCTTACCCTAAGAAACCACTACTAATGTCTAGACAGCTGCAGTAGAAATCACATTCATATAAAAATTATGACACATGGGTTCTAATTCTACCTCTAAATTACTTTGGGCAAATCACATAACTTGGCAGAGCATCAGTTTTATCATCTATAAAATGAGGAAGTGCATTAAATATCCAGGCAATTTCTTCCATCTTTAATATATTTTTCACTCAATAAAAAAAAAAAAAAGTCAAACTACAAGGAATACTAGAGAGAGAACATATCTGGAAATGAAAGAAAGTATAAATTGTTTTTACATGCTAAGGAAAAAAAGGCAGTGTCACCAAATGAGACATAAGATATACTGGACAAACCAATTTAGTCCATTACTAATTATCCTCCAAATAAATTTTATTAAGTACACAGTACAAAACAAGCAATTATTAAGCACCTACCATATGCTTGGCAACAGATTTTCTATAACCAAATGGTTGCGGATATGTATGCCTAGAACACTATATTAACTTGCCTAAAGACACAGCTAATGAGAGGGAGAGCTAGAATATCAGACAGGTCTTTTGACTCCAAGTTTGGTTTCAAAAAGTTCAAATCAACAAACATTTATTATATGCCTACCATGTGCCATGCATGTACTAGACATAATACACAATGCCTTAATTCAAATGATTTCCTAACTTTATTTTTAAAAGCTTAGGGAAAGGGCAATGGAAATCATGCAACAAATACTTATTTAGGGCCCACTATTTAGAAGAAGCAATATGTAAATTCAAAATAACCAGATTATGCCTGTATCCATTTGCATTCTCCATGAACTTTGTGAATGGCTTTCTC